AGAGTTTTGTAATAAAGTGCTGCAGAGATTACATATTTTTGTAGGCCAGCCCAGAAGTAAGCATCACCTTGGTTTCCTTGACAAAAAGATAATAGCTTTGTTTTGTTCATCGATCTTCACAAATTAACCCATTTTGAATTGAATACTAAATTAAATCACCAGAGCTAAAAAGCTAAAGCTAGGCTATAAATACGGTGGCCGAGAGAGCTCAACGTGCTGCAAAGGAAAAAACATGCAAAAATAAAAAATTAAGAAAACATCTTCATCAATTTGACAACACACACGCTGCAAATTCTCACAACACAACTAAATACAGAAACGCACTGCAAATTCTCACAACACAACTAAATACAGAAACGCACTGCAAATTCTCACAACACAACTAAATACAGAAACGCACTGCAAATTCTCACAACACAACTAAATACAGAAACGCACTGCAAATTCTCACAACACAACTAAATACAGAAACACGCTGCAAATTCTCACAACACAAACAAAGAAACTAGCTGCAAGTACAAAACAAACAAACAAAAACAGAAACACGCTGCAAATATGCACAGACCACATCGGAAATGTTTAAGGGAAGCGCATTTGTTTGTGTTGTGAGTATTTGCAGCGCGTTTCTGTATTTGGTTGGTATTTGATTGCAGTGCGTGTGTTGTCAAATTGATGAAGATATTTTCTTAATTTGCAGGTGTTTTTTCTATTTGCATGTGTTTTTTTCATTTGTAGCGTGTTCAACTCTCTTGGCCACCGTATATAAACACACTAGACAAACTTCAAAGTTGAAGACAAAATCACTGTTTAAAAATAAAAAAACTAAAGACAACTCTCTCTATCTACAAGTTTGAGAATAATTTGCAAAAGCGAAAGTACTATGTAAACACAACAAAGCTGTAAAGCAGACTATTGAGTAGACTAGTAGACTATTCAAAATTAGTTTTCCTGGTCAGCATGATAATAACATTGTCCTAGACAACCTCTATATATACACACACATATATATATATATATATACAGTATATACTGTATATATGCCTTGTGCAGCGACTGGTTGCAATCGAGGGAAAGATGAATGCGGCCAAGTACAGGGATATCCTGGACGAAAACCTTCTCCAGAGTGTTCAGGACCTCAGACTGGGCCGAAGGTTTATCTTCCAACAAGACAATGACCCTAAGTACACAGCTAAAATAACGAAGGAGTGGCTTCACAACAACTCTGTGACTGTTCTTGAATGGCCCAGCCAGAGCCCTGACTTAAACCCAATTGAGCATCTCTGGAGAGACCTAAAAATGGCTGTCCACCAACGTTTACCATCCAACCTGACAGAACTGGGGAGGATCTGCAAGGAGGAATGGCAGAGGATTCCCAAATCCAGGTGTGAAAAACTTGTTGCGTCTTTCCCAAAAAGACTCATGGCTGTATTCGATCAAAAGGGTGCTTCTACTAAATACTGAGCAAAGGGTCTGAATATTTAGGACCATGTGATATTTCAGTTTTTCTTTTTTAATAAATCTGCAAAAATGTCAACAATTCTGTGTTTTTCTGTCAATATGGGGTGCTGTGTGTACATTAATGAGGAAAAAAAATTTACTTAAATGATTTTAGCAAATGGCTGCAATATAACAAAGAGTGAAAAATTTAAGGGGGTCTGAATACTTTCCGTACCCACTGTATATACTGTATATATGCCTTGTGCAGTTTGAATACTTTAGGATTTCCATAACACGCAGGATTTTTACAACAGTATCCACAGTTAAACATTAAATACCGCACAAAGAACTGTGGTAAATCATGAGGGCGAGTACACAGCCGAATCAATTGCGCTGCACCTATTGATTTCTGTCACTTCTTGTTTTTTTAGGCAACACAATACTGATAATGACTAATCTAAATTATGTCTCAGTCCTGAAAGTCTCTTTATACTTCACTCAGTGTCACATTCCACCAGTCGGCGTTCTGCTGGTGCATGCTGGGAAGGATCACATGACAGCTTCGCAGGGTGCATGTGTCGGGGTAGCAGGGTCTCTGTCAGGAAGTGTGAGACTGCAGAGATGGCGGCAGGGGTCCGCTAGTCTGATGGGCTCTAATTAACTGCTAATGCTTTCACTCCGCTGACCTACACAGGATTAGGTCCTGTCATTAGCTACAGACACACACCCACATCTCCCTGTACTTGCCATTTGTTGGGCTAAAATGGATTTCGGCATCTCCAGCAAAGCCATCAGTTGTCTAACATGCGTTTGAAAGCATGAAATGAGAAAGGTAAAGAAAAGCACAAATAGCTACAACAAATATCAGCAGGCCTCTCTACTGTACTATCTGACCTGCAGATCTCATTCCTAAATCCATTCCCTTCCTCTTTTATTCCTTTAGTCTCCTGCTGTCTTTCAGTCTCAGATCCTTTTCCTCATCCTCAGGGCATTTCTTTCCGCTCTCTCTCTTCTTTAATCTTGGGAGGAGACATTATCCGAAGCACATCTCACTGCAGGGCTGTCTCGTTCACTGCTGTTCCTACCATTCAACGGAGAGGGCCGGCGAGGTACGAGAACTGGCTCCATCATGGCATCGTTAAACATGCAGCCGAAGCAAAGATAAATTCATTTTATAGTGTCCAGCTATTGATTCTTCACTATGTTGTTCATTGCCTAATTGATCTCTGCGGCTCTGTCGACTACTAAATGTGCTGTTTAGCTAATATCTGCATCTTTGAAACCTTCAGGCCATCAGCGGGAGTCCTGCAGATTCAGTTCAGTTCAGTCTGTCAATAAAAGCTGGGTCTGAACACATCTCTAAGGAATAACAGTAGCGATTTTTTCAAGACTTTAAACTTCACTTGCAATGCACCATATGGCAGGACTAATCAAACTGCTAAACTTCTATTAGACGTTACATGGCCTTGCATTAAAAAATACTGTACTAAGTTTGAGCTTACAGATGTCACTCTAAACACTAAACATGAGTCTCAATTTTTTACAAGATAATTGTTTTAGAAGAAAAAGTAAACAATTAGAAGTAGCAATGCACAATATACCAGTACCACAGTGGTTATCAGTTGATATTAGTAGTGATTTTTAGTGATTCTTTAACCTCAAAATGAATGTCAGTTTTTCATACTGTTCATTATAATGTTGTGATGCTTAATTTTACTCTAACTTTACATTTCAAATGATTGATTTTATTTTAAAAATGTTTTAATTTCTACTCAGACAAAATAGTACAGAATTTTAATATCAGCTATTTATCAGCTAACAGCCATTACATGAAAATAATTATCGGTATCAGACTTATCGGTATCGGCCGGGATATTAAAGGGGTCATGAACTGCCTTTATTTTTAATTTTGTACTGTTCTCTGAGGTCCACTTATAATGTTATCAAAATTTTTACATAAAAAAACAACAACATAATTTAGAAGTAATAGGCTATTTTCTGTCCTGTTTTAACCCCTCTCATCAGAACGCTCTGTTTGAAGGCGTGGTGGATTGTAGACTCGGAAGTAAATGCCCACTGCTATGATTGGCTAATAGTTGTGTATGTTTGACAGCCTACATCCTTTATAGATGGACGCAGCTGTGATTTAGGTTGAAAACACATAAATACTCAGTACATATCAAACAATCTGTAATAACAGACATAGCAATAGTGATCATGTAATAAAAACAGTTACTCGAACTTGTGTGTTGCGGCATTACTGTCGGATCCAATTTAGTAGGCACAGCATCGTCTTTTAGTTTCAATCTTTCTGAAAATCCTGCGTCAAACTGTGTTTTGTTTGTAAACGAATCCACATTAAAATGAATTGAACAAAAGACCAAGTTCTTACTGACGTGGTCTAGATCTTCATTAAAAAGCTCATTCACTCTTTCCTAATGTTGGTATCAGAAGGAAGGTAATGAAAAGACTGTTTTTCCACATCTTGGCACTGCACAGCATCTTGTTGTCTTTAGAGCCATCTTTATCGTTTGGTTTCTGCATAGACCTGCGTTCACCTCTCATTATTTACACTACATGCACGAATCGGTGGGCGGGGCTAAACAGGCAGTGATGCAGAAGCAGGCGTTGATCTTCTTCTGGTGGTGTTTAGCCACACTGTTACGTCAAAGTGGTATGTTCCACAGCCTGATGTTTTCGGCAGATTGGCTTCAATATAAGCTGTTTTTAGACTAACGAGAAAGTTTTGAGTTCCAAAACTTACAGGATGTTTTAATAGTACAATGACCTCTTATATGTCAAAAGATCAAGGGAATTGACCCTTCGCAAAAACCTGCCCTCCTTAGTTACTGTTGCTATGTACAACAAGCCATGGCGCTCTCACCCTACACAGACAGAACATGACAGAGCAGGTTACTTCTGTTATGAAACAAGGTCTCAGCTTTCAGATTTGGTCATTTTTTAAGAAATTCAAATAATAAATACCGTTTTGTGGCTCTTTAATGTCTCATGTCAGTTTGCTGTAGCGCCTCGGTTCAAGCGGCATGTGAACTGATCATATTTAAAGCACGAAATAAACATGAATGAACATCAGAATGTATTTTGTTTCAACCATAGAAATATGCCAATACACACCATTTTTTAAGTTTAAGTCCTCTGAAGTTAATCTACTCTCCTGTCTGATTTGTTTGTCGGACAAAATGACAATTCTGCATTATGATTGGTCAGATCGCTTGTCAAGCTCTTTGCGAAGGGTCATTTTTGATTTCTCAGTTCATGACTCTTTTAATATCAGTGCATCCCTAATTAGTAGGTTTTGTGCTAAAAGCTTCATTGTTGTGATGGGTTAAGCAGTGTTTTTGTGTCCAGGGGGAAGACATGACCTTTATGTTCTTACCAGTGAGACCAAACATCTAGTTCAGCCTCTGGTCCTGTTAAAGGTCACCAAACTTCAGGTCCTCCCAGATTACATATGCCATATAAAACCACAGACTACAAGTTCTCAATAATTAGGACACATGCTTTATCTCTGAACACATGCATGGCAAGGTATACAAACTTACGATGATGAGGAATATGAAGTAGATGAAGTTGTAGAAGGAATGAGCGTCCATGACATAGTACATGATCTCCACCCAGCCCTCCAGCGTGATCACCTGCACAAACCAGAACACAATCAAGCTCTTTATGCACCTGGGAAAGATCCGTCTCAGATGATCCATCACTAGTTGTCAGTTGAGACGAATGCTGTTTACGATGAAGTAACACGCGTCTGCTGTTTGTGATCGGATTTCGAGGGGAGAGTCACTAATTTTGTGACGTATAATTTTATAAGATTTAGAAGCATTAAGAGAACAACAACATCACTAATTAAAACCTAATTGTTGATGAATTCTTTAGCAATTCTAATGAAATGGATACACGCATATCTACACAAGCACAATAAAAGAAATATATATATATATATATATATATATATATATATATATATATATATATATGTATATATATGTATATATATATAAACTTCTCTATTGCTCTTTTTTGGATTTCTTCTGTAGCTTTTGTACTAATCTTGCTCAAACTAAAACTTAAAACAATGTCAAACACTTTGCTAAATAAATAAATGTAAATGCTTAAAACTATCTGCCAATGGGTAAGAAAAATTCTAATTAATTCAAAGTGAAAACAAGCTGATTTTTCTTACCTCATTGCAAATAATTTCTTTAAACCTTTGTTTTACCGCAGTGGATGATTGACAGGTGTGTAGGCAGCCCTTCACTGTTGTCCAAGATGCATCAGGATGGATTAGCATTTGCAACACACTACACATGCAATGCTGTCACATGCATGTTCAACTTCCCCTGAATATGGTTTGAGTGATTAGATCACAAAATCCATTGAATCGCATTTACACCTGTAGTAAGCACTGTTGATTTATAATAGGATCAGAATCAGATGTGTTATTTCAACAAATGCCACTTGACTCAATCTCTCACCTGAAATATGACGATCCATGCATAACCTATGTTGTCAAAATTGATCGCTCCTTTATGTGGGTTGGTGTGTCCTGTATGACAGCGGGTGTAGTACTGGTTCCAGTTCACACAGAGCCCCATGGCGGAGGCACTGCCGTTGACCAGTGGCTCCGCGCTCAGGCCCAGGGCCTGACGGTGCAGCGCATCCTCTTTATCTAGACAGCACTCCCGTCCGCCTTCTCTCCGAGTGGGCACGTCGCTGCAGGACATGATGCCGTTATCTTGAGCCAACGAGCAGATGAAGGGCCGCTCGTCATCCTCCTCAGGCTGATAATATGGGGCGGGGAGGGTGATGCCAGATGTGCTGAGGACAAGACGGAAGGAGAAGTCAAGGTTTTTGAAAATTCAGTGTTAAAAATTAACTAAATTAATGTGCATTAAAAGAAAATTAATTTATCAATACAGTTGTGGTCAAAATTTTACATACACTTTTCGGTATCTGCAAAATGTTAATTATTTTACCAAAATAAGAGGGATCATACAAAATGCATGTTATTGTTTATTTAGTACTGACCAGAATAAGATATTTCACATGAAAGATGTATATATATATATATATATATGTATATATATGTATATATATATAAACTTCTCTATTGCTCTTTTTTGGATTTCTTCTGTAGCTTTTGTACTAATCTTGCTCAAACTAAAACTTAAAACAATGTCAAACACTTTGCTAAATAAATAAATGTAAATGCTTAAAACTATCTGCCAATGGGTAAGAAAAATTCTAATTAATTCAAAGTGAAAACAAGCTGATTTTTCTTACCTCATTGCAAATAATTTCTTTAAACCTTTGTTTTACCGCAGTGGATGATTGACAGGTGTGTAGGCAGCCCTTCACTGTTGTCCAAGATGCATCAGGATGGATTAGCATTTGCAACACACTACACATGCAATGCTGTCACATGCATGTTCAACTTCCCCTGAATATGGTTTGAGTGATTAGATCACAAAATGCATTGAATCGCATTTACACCTGTAGTAAGCACTGTTGATTTATAATAGGATCAGAATCAGATGTGTTATTTCAACAAATGCCACTTGACTCAATCTCTCACCTGAAATATGACGATCCATGCATAACCTATGTTGTCAAAATTGATCGCTCCTTTATGTGGGTTGGTGTGTCCTGTATGACAGCGGGTGTAGTACTGGTTCCAGTTCACACAGAGCCCCATGGCGGAGGCACTGCCGTTGACCAGTGGCTCCGCGCTCAGGCCCAGGGCCTGACGGTGCAGCGCATCCTCTTTATCTAGACAGCACTCCCGTCCGCCTTCTCTCCGAGTGGGCACGTCGCTGCAGGACATGATGCCGTTATCTTGAGCCAACGAGCAGATGAAGGGCCGCTCGTCATCCTCCTCAGGCTGATAATATGGGGCGGGGAGGGTGATGCCAGATGTGCTGAGGACAAGACGGAAGGAGAAGTCAAGGTTTTTGAAAATTCAGTGTTAAAAATTAACTAAATTAATGTGCATTAAAAGAAAATTAATTTATCAATACAGTTGTGGTCAAAATTTTACATACACTTTTCGGTATCTGCAAAATGTTAATTATTTTACCAAAATAAGAGGGATCATACAAAATGCATGTTATTGTTTATTTAGTACTGACCAGAATAAGATATTTCACATGAAAGATGTTTACATATAGTCCACAAGAGAAAATAACAGTTGAATTTATAAAAACGACCTGTTCAAAAGCGTTAACATACGCTTCATTCTGAATAGTGTATTGTTACCTGAATGATCCACAGTTTGTTGTTTTTTTGTTTAGTGATAGTTGTTCATGAGTCCCTTGTTTGTCCTGAACAGTTAAACTGCCTTCTGTTCTTCAGAAAAATCCTTAAGGTCCCACAAATTTGTTGGTTTTCCAGCATCTTTTGCATATTTGAACCTTTTCCAACAGTGACTGCATGATTTTGAGATCCATCGTTTCACACTGAGGACAACCGAGGGACTCGTACGCAACTATTACAAAAAGTTCAAATGCTCAATGATGCTCCAGAAGGAAACACTAAGAGAACAGAACAAAGATTTATTTTGCCTAAATATCATATTTTTCTCACACTGCCAGAATTAAGTCGATTTTTCATATTAACAAAATGTTGTGAGGCCTGTGCGTATAAGAAAAAAAACCCTACACAAAAATCTAATTAAAAAAATAATAAGACTTAAATCGTTAAATCGTTTTGCATCTATTAAAGTGTTCTTATAGTATAGCTGAAACATCTCTAGGCAGACCTGAAGAGATCTGAGCAGTAACCAATGTGGATTCATTCTATAACAGACCAACTGGGCGTGTGTAGTGTGTGCGTACATGTGTGTAAAGCCCATTTCTCTGTGAGTGACCCATTGAGGGCAGCCTGCCCCTTAATCATAGTGTTTCACTGCCCAGAAATAGCGGTTTCCATCAGCCACTCACCCTCTCATACACATAACAGGGTCACAATGACTATTTACACTCCCTTTCCCCCCTCACTCGCTCCTTTTTTCCTCCCTTTCCCCGTTTCTCTCACACATCCATGTATACGCGAATAAGCACCAACATGCAATGCCATTTGTCCACCTAGCATAAAACAAGCATAGTACATGCAAGCCACACTGACCAATCAATGCCTCTATTGCTTTGTGGTCTTGACAGTTAATCTAAATGTGCACACACACACAAAGCTCCCTTGACAGCCATGTTGTAGGTATTGGGCGCCAAGAAAGGATTGGTTCATCATCCCCAGGGTGTAATTCTCCCCATTTGGACAGAGGACTCCTCCGCAGACTCGCAGCTCGATAAAGGCCAAGAATGTTTCTGCTGTCGCGGAGGACATTTTTCCTTTGCCCTTCAACAACACAGCAGCCAAAAGATCTGAACCATTCGATAGCAGTAATGAGCAATGGTATATCGGGCTACACCAGAAAAAGCAATTTGTCTAGGCAGACCACGGTGGTGACACTCGTGCGAGGATATGCGTGTGCACATTTCCAATGCACAAAACGAATCAATGCCTGTGATATGGCAAATTGAGCTAATGCATCAAACCTTCGCAGATTCCCCCGTGGGCTTTGTGCGGCACATACTGAGATCTCTCCTATAAATGTCAGTCTGTATTTTCAACACGACAGTCAAGCTGGACCGCGTGGCACCGCTTTTCTTTAAGAGCTCAGCGGTATGGCGACAACTGGGGGGGCAGAGCGGCAGAGAATCAGTAAGTCTGTCAGGGCTCTGCAAGGAGTGCTGGAGTGTGAATGATGTTTGTGCCAGTGCCAGGGCTCGGGCACAGCACGTGGCACCGCTTTTCTTTAAGAGCTCAGCGGTATGGCGACAACTGGGGGGGCAGGGGGGCAGAGCGGCAGAGAATCAGTAAGTCTGTCAGGGCTCTGCAAGGAGTGCTGGAGTGTGAATGATGTTTGTGCCAGTGCCAGGGCTCGGGCACAGCGTGACAGCGCACTGAGGAGCACAGCCCAGCGTGGCACACCGCTAACACCCCACTGTGGCACAAAATGCCATTCCACTGCCAATAAGACTGCTCTCGCACATGGAGATAATTGACCAATGACTGACAAGCTGTTTGTGGGTCGTTGCAGGTGGGTGGATGTTAAGGAATGCAGCATAAAACGAGCCCCGAGGAGAAGTGTGACTTTGAGGGTTGACTTTTTAAAGGAATTTCTTCCATTTGTGCAAGTCAAACCTCAGCAGATGCCGTGAAAATGACTCAATCTAAATTGTCTTTTCGGTGCCTGTAGCGTAGTTAACATCAACAGTCTTACCTTTCATTTTTAAATTGTTTTTTGACCTTATATCATAAGATTTTCTGGTGAAATCAACACCTGCTTCTGGTGATGTATGCCAGATTTTTGCAATAATTCAGTTTGCTTATTCTCCGCCCCGCCAATCAACTGCAAGCTCTCATTCATTTTTGAGTCCAACATTCACATCTGAAAATTTCTCTTCTTGATTAAAGGAATCGTTTAACCAAAAATAAAAAAAATTATGTCATTGATCACCCTCATGTCGTTCCAAACCCGTAAGACCTTCGTTCATCTTCGGAACACAAATTAAGATATTTTTGATGAAATCCAAGAGCTTTCTGACCCTCCACAGACAGTAATGCAACTGACGTGTTCAAGGCCCAGAAAGGTAGTAAGCGTCTCCATTCTAGTAAAGTGAAATTCAGTAGTTCAATAAAGTGTATCCATTGTAGTTTATATGTCTTTTTACTGCATAGATAACATATCCTCATTCCTGAATGCGAAAGTCATGCCTGACTCTTAACTGGAAGGATGCTTTGCATTTCCGGTCCCCAGTGTTTCTAGTCAAACTAGCGTATATTCCGAGCTGATAATCTAATGTTAAACCTATTAAAATGTTTTTTAAAAGCACATGGCTCCATAGCTCCATCACTTTACAGTGTCGCAATGACCGTCATTTGTCAGTGCCTCATTCCTCAAAGTTTAATGAGTGTGCAGATGACACGAAGCTGCCGACGTTAGCTAAATTAAAAACAGATTGGCACTATTTGAATGGGTTCCTATGGAGACCGGAACAGAAGAGCATCCAATCGGAAGTTAGAATTCGTAATGGCGGCGCTCATCGTTGACTCAGTCTATACATGAAGATTCACATCTTGGAGTTTCAATCAATGTAATATTCAATCAGAAGCCGATCAGAAACGCAATCATTTAGTGTGTTCAGGTTTTCTTAAAATGGTGTATGGTTAAAGTTAACTAAATTGCTAATAGCAGCTTTAAAATGTTTCTTTTATACACTTGTATGTAAAACTTTGAACCAATACATTTTGACAGTGTTAAAGTTTCGATGTTCGAAGAGTGTTTGAGCAGCCAACTGTTGCTATGGTTACATTGTTTTGGTTACGCAACCTTTGAAATCAGTGAAAACACGTGTTCCGACTAACTTGTGATCTAACATTCACAGTTATTTATGTCTGCAAAAGCTAAAGATATTTCTCATATAAAGAGACCCCCTTATACGCTAAACTAAACTATAACTGTGTAGCATTTGTTCTTTCAAACCCTATAAAAACATTTTAAGTAATTCATCCTCACCAAAAGGGAAGGAGAGTGTACATTTTAAGAAGACTGTAAGAGAATGTACAAAGCAGAAGAAAACCAGGCGCTCTCTCAGGAGACTCTATGATAGACTTTCCTTTCAAAACACTTCATCATCCTCTGACTATAGTGCCAGCATTTAAATATACTCGCTACAAGACAATAAACGACAATCAGGCCTCAGCTGACGTTTAAACTCAGACACGCGCTTCTTTATCCCACACACACGCGTACAAACAAACGCACGGTGAGTCTCGCACACTGCCATGCACCGTGATTCCTTTCAAATCCAATCACACAGCAAAGAGAAGCAGGCAGACCATGGTTGGCCCGGTAACCTCAGGCAGACACCCACTCATGAATATGGACGCCAATCTGAGGTTTAATCAACTGGAGCCATCGACTGGGTGGAACCACATTTGCATTTTTAGTGGCAGGTAGACAGTAAAAACAAGAAGATGAGAGGAGAGATTAAACAAAAGGATATATAAAGTAAGACCAGTTTACATCTTAAAAACGACGATTTTGAGAATATACGACAAGGATACAATTTTGCCGATATCCGATATGCCGATATTTTTCAAATCATTTTTGCAGATAGCCGATGCCGATGTATATTTCCTTTTGTTTTGAAACAATGCAAATCACTCCTGTGCAGAAATTATAAAAAAATATATTTTTAATTTAGTTTTATATATATATATATATATACATATACATGTAATATACATACATATACATATATATAAATAAGAGTACACTGAAAGTTTTTAAAATAGCTATAATAAAATAAATCTCTGCTGTATTCTCCAGACAAATGCAGTTGAAACTTTAACATTTTTTTTATATTAATAGATGGCCTAAAGCAAAAGAGCTGTAAAAATTATATAAAAAAAAGTTTTCTCTTAAAAAAAAATGTATTACATATTAATGAACATATCTTTATCATTAAATTATTTAATTTACAATTGTCAAGTTTGTAATTTATTCATGTAAGCTACAGCTTCTGACCTTTAAATCAAAACAGACTTTGATTTTATTACATCAATTACTGCTTTATTTATTCAGAAACACAAGTATCTTAATGTTATTTGTGTATTTAACTTTCATTTTATTACAAGTACTAGCTAGCACACTCTGAGCACATGTGAGTTATTTGTCTTACCGGCATAATTGTTTCACATCAGCTGATGCCGATGTTTACATTTTAAAACTTTATCGGCTAATTCCGATACACTACATGGAACTGAACGACTGATTTGTTTATTGGTCCCCAAGGTCCATGTGATCCCAAAATATCCATTGATTACATCAAGTATCCCTTCTTCGAGAGAAAGGACATTTGAAATACAAGTCCAATCCAATGATGGACTGATCAGGTACTCCGAATGCCTCTTCCAGAAGATCCGGCCTCCTAAATTCAATCTCTTTATCCTTGTAAACCTAAACTGTCATCCAAATAAACTCACATTTTGGATTCGCTGCTTTTGTCCTCAATGAAATCACAGATGAAAACATTCAGTACATTCAGTCTTTTCTCTCTCTCACTCCCTTAAGCCCACCAGCCCTCCTCTTTTGGTACTCACAGGGTGAAGTTCTCCTCTGGGTAACAGCGATTTCTTAGTAGTCCAGCCCACAGCTGCACACCAATGATGCCAAAAATGAAGAAGACAAAGAAACAGAGCAGAAGCACATTTCCCAGCATGGGAAGAGTGTCCAGCAGCAGGTTCACCAGGATACGCATACCTACACAAACACAAGAACACAGAAAAAGATTAGCATGCGAAAGAATAATGTGCACTGAGATATTAATTATTCAAAAAAAAAAAAGGTTTTAATATCCTTTCATGAAATGTAATAACTTTTTTCTACCTCTGACACAACTTACTACTATTATTAAGCAAATATCAATGAATAAAATCAATGTAATTCTCACCGATTACTCATAAATTGTCACGTTACGTAAGTTAGACATTGCCAATCTTAGGTTATTTTAGGTCATCCAGTCATTTATCCTTCATTTATTTGTAGATAACAATTTGTGTCACTGTGACCATCTAGCAACTCTTGAAAGATTGTCTTCATAAAACTTAATTTGTGTTTTTACTTCCACACCAGTGGGATCGTTTGTGAGTGAGAGTGTGTTCATGTGTGTGTTAGTGAAGCACTGCTGGGACTGAATGAAGGGTGTGTGTCCGTTCTGATTGGAGAACAGCAGCATGTGATTACTGCAGTGTTTGTGGTTTTGGAGAAACACAACAGGGAACTAACACAACACTGATGGAACACATTAACACATCGAGTCATGTGTGGTAACACACAAATGTTATAAACGGCATGTGGACAGGTGAAGCGACTGGTGCTGTGAATATCTGGACCTCTGGAATGAAAGCAGAATTCTGTCTTGGGCCACTTACAGAGAAATGAAGGGAATCACAGTTTAAAAAAATAAATAAACAAATAAAATGAAATAAAGAGGAGAGAAGAGGATGATTTAAAACGTGTGATGCAAAGGTCACATGCGAGCTTAGTTTCCAAGTGGGATGTTATTTTTTTAGATATCACAACATAATTTTCCATGTCTTTATCAAGACTCTCTTTCTTTCTCCGTATTGTTTTTTTCTCAATGTTACAAAGTTCACCAAATGTGAAAATTCTGCCATAATTAAAATAATAATAATAATTTTCTAATAGGATCTAATCAGAAATTTTCTTGGCACTGAATTTTTACAATTCCCTGAAATTTCCAGGTTTTTGATAACCATGGGAACCATGCAAAATGTCCACACTGCTCTTTTCCAACAAAAGCAGATAGTGATTTTGCAAACATTTAGCTAAATATCATTTTGCCTATTCCACAGAAAGAGAAAAAAACTACAGGTCTGGAATGACATGAGAATGAGTAAATGATGGCTGCATGTTTATTTTTAGTGAACTATCCCTTTAATAAAATCTTGCATAAAGCTTTGTTACAATTTGGCATGCTATATGCACAGTTAAATGGATGTTAATTTAATTCTGTATGCCTGCATGCAGGAGGGAGAGTGTGGAACAGTGCGTATGCATTGGGTTTGTGTGCGTCTTCAAAATCAGTTTTTCCCCCCACATGCACAGGAGTTAACACACAAAGACCTACATTCTACAAACACTTCCTGAAACCCTCCCCTCAAAAACTCACTATCTCTAGTGTGAGCTAATTCAGTTAGCATTCATATTTCATGCGCTACACCATTGCCATGGGCACTGAAATATAGATAAATCCTGGGCTTCTTATAGAAGCTCAAAGAAAGGCCACAATGTTTGGGAGGGGTGTGAACGTGAGACAGAGGAATATGAATTATGGCGTTTGTTCAAGGACAACTGTTTTTCTACCCAATTACAGGAGGGATTAATCTGGCTCTGCTAATGGTGGTGGCAGAAAAGTAATGGCTCTGAAATCCTCTTTGATTCATTCCAGCTTTGCTGTTCTGGAAGACCTGCACACCAAATACAAAGCTACACATGCACGCTACCGTGGGTTTGATAGGGCAGGGGTTGGAGCCGACACATGGGGGTGCTTTTGAGGCTTGGCATTAACACAACCAGTAAAATCCTACACACAATGAATCAGAGCATGTGTAACACCTGAGGTTTGCAGAACACAGATTTTTTGGGGAAAGTGTGTGTTTGTGTGTGTATGTGTGTGTGTGTGTGTGTGTGTGTGTTTACTCACTGGGTACTCTGTTGATGGCTTTGAGAGGTCTGAGTACACGCACTGTTCTGATGGCAGAGAAGTTGATGTTCTGGAGATCAAGGGAGTATTCAACTATCCTGAGAAGAAGAAACAAACAGAGAAAATTAGTGTCACAGTCACTGGGTATAGACTAACTCTGAGTGTTGTTTCTGTAGTTCAGACCAGCTCATTAAAGCAGAGTCTAGACAGAGACCAGAAGAGGGTCGAGTTCGAGTCAAGACTGAGTCCACTTGTTCTCCAGTCCATAAGACCAACACCATTAAAATGTAAAATGACTCAGACTCGACTCAAATGTGACCCTTTTCTGAACTTGGTCTTGACTTCTGAGCAGAAACACTGGTTTCTTCCTCTCATTTCATTACTTACAAGTGGTTATCATCTATAATATTGTTGTATTTTATTTTCATATGTTAGGCATTTATTCTAATCATGACCATTTCTAACGTCTCTTTAAATACCTCCTCGAAAAAAAAACAGCTTAACCCAGTGAAAGGTGGTTTCCTTCCCACCTAATGCCAACGTGATGTTTCCTGATCAGTTTTGCACTGTGTTTGTGCATTTAGACCAGAGAAGGACTGGTCCCCTGACAGAGTCTGGTTTATGAATTGAATTTGTTCTTAATTCTTGAATTTTGCAACATCGACACTGTTATTGAACTGAACTGAACCATCGTTGAACTGACTGGAGCTGAATAATGGCACTTTAATTCTTTCATACAGCAAGGATGCATTAAATAAATTAAAAGTGACAGTAGCATTTGTAACATTTATAATGTCATTTGTATTTCAAATAAATGCTGCTTTTTAACTTTCTCCTCAAAGAATCTTGATAAAATGTAGCATTGTTTCCAAAAACAATATTAAGTAGACAACTGTTTTTAACATTAATAAGAAATGTTTCTTAAGAAACAAATCAACAAATTAGAATAATATTTGAAGAATCATGTGACACTGAAGACTGGAATAATGACTGATGAAAATTCAGCTTTGTCATCACATGAATAGATTATATTTTAATTCAAACAGTTATAACAGTAAACATTATTACAGTATATTATAATAATACTTCACAATTTTACAGTTTTTCCCCTATTTTTTTAATCAAATAAATGCAGCTTTGGTGAGCATAAGAGACTTATTTCAAAAACATTAAAAAAAATGTATTGTGCGTCAGCATGTCAACTCATCACATATTTTTGTCTTGTCCGGTGAATCATTAGCAGTCTAAAAGGTTTTGGTCTCGCTTCCATTCTCAGCAGCAGGTAACATCCACTGTAGGTGAGTATAGTTTAAAACTAGACTAGCCCTACACACAACAAACAGAAGATCACTCTGATCAGATCACTCTGACACACACACACACACACACACACACACACACACACACACACACACACACAGAAGGAGAACAGGCCATTCTAATGCAACCCAACCCAAAGCACAACACTGTTCATCTTGATCTGAGTACACCATGTGTACTTTGACAGGAACTGAAGCGGTGTGGGTTCATCTCTCTCGTCTGTGTGAGAGCAGCTCTGTTTGGGATAGTTACCGACTGCTCTCTGCATCAAATGGCCCTGTGGGACTGTGTGTTTGAAAATAGAGGCCAGAGGGTTTCTTTTCCCAGACAGAAGAAGACATTATCTGCTGTTGAGCTCCCCTTTAATCTGCACGGTTCATCACAGCGAACAAATCTAGATGCTGTTGTACTACCAAAAGCAGACACACATAGCCACTTTATCCTTCCCACCCGAGCGAGGGCCATCTTTAAACAGACACACCTCCCGTGATGTCACCAATCTTGTCGGCCTCCCTTTAACCTCTGTCTCCATGAGATGTTTTTCAACGGGAAGCATCTGCGGTGAGAGCTGAGTCACAGAACGGGACGAATGAGTCACAACGGCCACTGAGAATATACTGACAGCGTCTCATAGCAGCAGCAGCACGGGTAGTCACACATTCAACATGTCTACATAACCGCACAGCGAGAAATACTCCACAGCTCTCCAGAGCCACTCCGCTGCCAAAACCCTGCCTAAATACACGCAATTATACCGTTTAGTAGCGTTTACTTTAACGAGAATGATCGGCGGGCCCATATGGAATCTGTAAACGCTGTTTCCATGCTGATTTTGCAATACAGATTTAAGCAGGTGGTTGTATAATTGAACCGTTCAAACTGTGATGTTTTTGTTTGATTGGACAGGTGAAATACTAATGTCATTACAAAAGTATTGCTAAAAACTTTTAGTTTAAATCATATGATGCGATTTCAATTTTTCCTTTCTCTTTGAAGTGTTACAAGCTCTTGGTGTATAAAGAAGATCTGTAAAGTTGCGAAGACTAAAGTTTCAAATCCAAAGAGATATTCTTTATAAAAGTTAAGAGTCAACCCATGCCTACCTAAAATGGCTCATTCTAACATGCCCTCACATGCCTACGTCACGATGTGGGAAGATTTGCATAACGCCGCCCAAATGTTCACGCAAAGAAAGAAGGCATAACTTTTATTCTCGCTGTAGTATTGTTGTTGCCGCCGCCATGTCGTGAAGACGCTGTGTGTTTCGTTGTGAAAGCGAAACTACTTTGTTTGGCCTTCCAAAAGAGGACGATATCTGCTTCGTCATGCCTAGAGCTGATCCGTGCTGGTCGCTGAGGAAATACATCAACTTCGCGCTGTGGATTGCAGCATCGGATTTTTACCGTGGACGAAGCGGAGTTCAGCCCGGGGTCGTCACATGTGGTTGCCACAAGCCCGCCGGCCGCTCCTTCGTCGAATCCGCCGGCTGTTCCTCACTTTAGGCCACCGGCCTCTGCTCACTCAAGCCCACCGTGTGTGACGCTGTGCTTCGTTGTGAAAGCGAAACTACTTTGTTTGGCCTTCCAAAAGAGGACACGACTAGAAATCAGTGGTTAAGTTGTATTTACAACACTTTTCCAGAACACTTCAAACCAAATATTCAGATGCGTGCAGCGCATTTTATGGAGGACTGTTTCCTGATCCTGGTAGAGTAGACTACAATGCCGGCTGTTTCACAGACTGTAAGTACGTTTTCATATTTAAAGGATTTGCCACTGATGATTCAAACGTGAGTTTTGAGCAGTGTAGAGTAGCGCTTGTTCTTTGTCATTTCTCCGATCACAAATGCAGACATGGTTTTATGTTTACGCGGCGCGATGCAACGCAACGCGTAAAAAGACAGTATAAGTCATTATAATCAGTAATTATGTCCCCACTGGATGCAACAAATGCCTTGTTTATAATGGGTTTTAATGTTTTTGTCTCGTTGCTCCAGCCGGACAGGGCATTACAATATGGTAAGGGGCGTAACATTTCCGTCACACGCTTGAGGTATTCGGCCTTAATCAAACACACCTGATTCAGGTCATCAGCTCATTAGTAGAGACTCCAAAACCTGAAACTGGTGTGTCAGAGAAAGGAGACATGCAAAATGTGCAGTGTTGGGGTGCCTCCAGGACCAGGGTTGGGAACCACTGGGTTAATTAACTCACCTAAATCATATCCATAAGATTAATCAGATATATACAGAGCATAAATATAATTTTACATCTTAAATCAGCACAAAATGATGCAAATGCACAAGTGATGCACTGGCCAGAATATGCACGTCATGTTGTGAGTATGCTACGGTGGCCCAGTAATACACAACACATCGAAATCTCCACAACACAATAAAATTGCCACAACACAATGCACAGGACTAATTTATATTGTGTTGCTGCTTGTTTCCGTTGTGTTGTGCTCATTTTGTTGTGTTGCGGCTCGCTTCCGTTGTGTTGCTGCTTGTTTCCGTTGTGTTGTGCTCATTTTGTTGTGTTGCGGCTCGTTTCCGTTGTGTTGCGGCTTGTTTCCATTGTATTGCGACTTGTTTCAGTTGTGTTGTGATCATTTTGTTGTGTTGCGGCTTCTTTCTGATGTATTGTGCACTACTGGGCCACCATAGTTATGCTCTACGTGGAAAATAAATTACTATAGCATAAAGATTAACAGGACTCAATAACACTGTACTCAGTATAATTGATAATCATCAATATAATTGATATACAATTGATGAATAATTTTAGGAGCTCAGGTTTATACATAGATGGCTTTAAAATGTTTTTTCGAAAGTCTGAATATTTGTTTTAATTTTGTACATTTTTAACAATTAAAATTTTTTTTGTGTTAAAATTAGATGTCATTTTAATCCAAGTAAAGCGGCCTAAAATTAATGAATATGACATAAAATATTGACTGTATTTAAAGGACTAAAACCAAAAACAACTGTAAAAATTAACACTGCACTGAAATTCAGACATTTTTGTATCCAACCCACCAGCGAGTAGAAACAAAGAGCTAATTAAAATATTGAGTAGAGACTAAACATCTGGTTGCAAGCGCTGCATTTCGTCAGGCAGGTGCGGACATGCTGTGCCTTGATTAGAAAAATAACCAATCATTTTGACTGTACCAATGAGACTGCATGTTAATAAAAGTTGTACAAAGGGCTTATGGGATATTCGTCACCCCCAGCGGCATGGATTTATCTAAATAAACTTGGCTTAAGGGAAAAGTGTAATTCTGAGCCAGAAACAAGAGAGAGAGCGGAATAGGATGAGGACACGGACTGTGTTCCTGTGTAGTACTAACACAGAAGAATGATCGACTGCAGTGGTGTTGTAGAGCTTGACAATCCCATTATGTCATTTACTGTCTGACTGACAGTGGTGTCAGCACTCAAAAAGTAGTGGGACACTGCCACATGCACCACTGCGGCTACTTGTGTGAGAGACACACTCCCAAACAATCAAAAAATCCAGAGAATAATCCTTCATAATACCCATGCAAATCCTCATAAAAACAGGCAGAAGTTTTCTCTTAACAAATATAACATATACAACATGGCATAGCAATGCACGATGAGACAAGATTCCAGTGACAAGCAATGTTTTTTGTCCACAGAGAAACAAAAAATGCTGCGTGATGCAAGAAAATCACAACCAATCAGCATCAATTGGCAGCTGTAGAATGCTGTAGCGTCTGCGTAGGATCATGCATGAGCGTTGGACTGTTTATG